GGTTTTTTTTTTTTACAGTTTTTTTTTACAGTGTGTTTTTGATTTGGAAGATAACTGATTACTGAGTAGAGCGTTTCCAAATTTGGTATCCTCTGGAGGTAGGAATTCTGTGAAATATACCTGGGAAAGGTTTAGAAATGCATTCCACTGATGTTTGATCCTCTACTGCTTCCATTTAAATGTACTGATCAGTATTTTATTTGTACTTATAATGTACATTTCTAATTTGTATCAAAAATTTTAATTACATTACATTTTGCATTCAGCAAAAAGAGTATAAAATACTAAAAGTAGCTCCTCAGACTCCAGCTAAAGTTTAAAATCTCATGTTATTTTAATGGAAATAATTTCCTAACCAAGTCAGATTTTACTGTGCCTGTATTCGCTTTTTTAACATAATCCACCAAGAAAACATTTGCTATGGAGCAGATTACAAATATTATTAATCAATATATCAACATTTACAAATCTCTTGAATCTAAGGTAATCAAAACTGATTACCTTAGATATTTCAAGCAAAATCAATATTTCTTACTTGTAATCCTCATTTGCTGCAGTGAAAATGAAAGCTTCCATGGGATTCCAGGAAAGTGTATTTGTTCTCATATCCAAAATAACCTGAGAAAATTTAAATATTTAGAAGTAGGAAAAACAATCAATAGACATGTACTGTTTATTATAATAAACTATACATTACAAATAAATTATATAATTACGATTCAATACAAATGTGTTTATAATCAATTATATAATAAACAATTATTACTTTGGGCTAGTTGTTCTCTCTCAGCCCAACCACCTTATAGTGTTGTTGTGGAGAAAATAGGAGGCAGGAGCATTAGGAATATATGCCACCTTGAATTGACCAAAGGTGGGACACAAGTCAAATAAATAAATAGATGTTGTGCAGGTGTGTTAATACTCGTTAAAGAACTGAGCAATCTACGTAATCTCTCAGTGAAAGATGAACATATTGGTGAAAGCATCAAGAATCAGATATGTCATAGGGCTCAGCCAGGTAAAAGGACACAGTATAATAATTACAGGTGGTCCTTGACTTACGATGGCAATTGGGACTAGAATGTCTGTTGCTAAGCAATGCAGTCATAAAGTGCAACCACATCACTTATCAATGGCAATCCCTGCAATCCCGGTTGTCGTTAACCGAATCCCATGGTCGTTAGGTGAGCAACTTCCTGCTGGCTTTCCACAACATGTCAGTGGGGAAGCTGGCAGAAACTGTAAGTCCTGGGCAGCTCACAAGCAGGCTGGCAGGCAGGTAAGTGGCTGCTGCTGGATAGGGGAGGGCATGAGGGAGGCATGGCGAGGGTGCACAAGGGTGTGCAAAAGGCACGGCAAGGCTTGAGAAGGGTCCGCGAGGGTGGCACAGCAAGGGTCGGAGCAGGTCACAGGGTGCATGAGGGAAGTTTGGCAAGGGTCAGGGAGGGTGCACAGGAGGCAAGGTCAGGATCATGTGACCGTGGGAGTACTGGGACAGCTGGAATGCCAAGGACTGGTAACTTCGAATGGTCGCTGAATGAATGGTCATAAGTCGAGGACCATTTGTACAGCAAAAATGAACTCATTCTATGAAATTTATGGCAGCACTGAATGGAGGACAGGTTATCGTCTAGCCTATTTATCCAATGGATTCTCGTTCACAGAATCTGTTGTTGTTGTTCAGTCGTTAAGTCATGTCCGACTCTTCGTGACCCCATGAACCAT